AGCCATCCGTCCTACGTGCGTGTCTAAGGTTAAATTGCACATGTTGCCATGCGTTTTTGCTGCTGCCACTGATGGTTTTGTACTTTTCGGTTTAACCTCAATGTGTTAAGCTATCGTTTTTTCTTTTTTTAGCAGGCTTCTCTCGTCTTGTCCAGTCTATTGATTCCAAAAGGTGGCAAGACAGTGGGTGTAATTGGCAAATGATGTAGTTGCACTAGCACAAAAAAACTCAGGTTTTACTGAATGAATAAGGGAATAGATCACAAAGAAGTTCAAACTTAAAGGCTTTAAATTCACTAGGAAAATATTTTAGAAAATATAACTAATTGTTTTTTAACTTTTGAGTTTGATTTTTCTCCCTCTTTCTCCCAAAATTGAGTTTTTAAAGTTTGCTACTGAAAACCTATGGAAAACTGAGAGTCAATTAAACCTTTGTAGCACAGAAAGCATCGTTTCGGTGTGTGGTACAAACACAATAACCTCATACGCATAACGTATACGCAGCGTTGACAATAGATCGCCGCTTTTGCCCGCGGACTCATTTGAACAATACACGGCGGAAAATCTCCAACTGCGACGCGATATTGCTGCACCTAAATATAAAGGGGAAGGCTGGATGTTGATGAAGCAGCCAAGGGCTGTGCAAACGCAACTCATAACCGAAGCATTGTGGATTTAAGCTCAACGGAATAATACCCCCTCACGCACCGCGAGTGCGAGTCTTTGAGTGCGTTTCTAGTTCTGCAATTGCAATTGGAATCGCAGCTGCCAGTCGATGTGTCCATAGATTACAGACAGTCTGCTGGCGGGGATTTTGCCAACGGACTGGCAGTTTTTCAGAAAAATTATTTCCATTTTTCATCGTTCGCATACGTTGCGTATACGCAGCGGGGTCACCAAGCTATAGAGAGAGCGGATGTCGCCACACCTTTCAAAAGCCCTTCGCCAGAGATATCGAATATGAAAGAGGTTATCGAAAGGACCTGCAAAGGATGTAAATCTGAAAAGGTCCCCTCATTCCAGATACAGTTTCATATCCTTGTAGGGTATTACAATTTTAACAAGAAGTTTGCAACGCAGTAAAGGAATAATAAACTTTCGCAAAATTAGCTTAGAAAATAGCTTCATCCTTCTTCACCTTTCTCTGCCTCTCTTTATATCCCTATCTCTACATATCTCACTCTCTTTTTATTTATCTCTCTCTCACTCTCTCTCTCTCTCTCTCTCTCTGGCTGTCTTTTACTCTGTCTCTCTTAGTGTATCTCAGGAGATATCTCCTTTTCTCTATCTCTGAATTTGTCAACTTTAGAGGTATCTCTTTCTCTTCTGCTCTCACTTTCTCTGTTCTCTTTACTCGTAGATTATAAATAAAGGGACTTCCTTGGCTCTGGCTTCATTCTGTTCGCGGCCTCTCAGTGTTTACATCTATAATTATAGTGAAGTGACATTGTCCAATTCGACCCCAAAAATATCACTTAGTTAAGATCGCATTTACATTCATAATCATGAACCTGCAAGTGTATACAAACTTCGGCTTCTCGACGTTAGCTTCCCTTCTGGTTTAAGTTCACTTTCCTTTCCCTTTGAACCTGTCAATAATTTTAATTAGCTTTTCCACTTTCCAAAGCAGACACCCACCCTGGCAACATTTACGTTTTGACAAATTAATTTCCGTTTCTTTCTAATTATTTTTTCAGTTGGTTGATTTGCTTTTTATTGTAATTGTACGTGAATCGGAAAGTGATCCACATTTAAGTTGTATTAAAAAGCAGGAGGTCACTTGGCAATAAGGGTCTGTTTGGACTGACTTAAAGCGTAAGGAATAGGAAACGGGAAGTTGTTCGTTAAAGTCATTCCTGTGTCTGTGACATCCTAGGAAGAAAGATGTAGAGACCAAAGTAATCCAATATTTTTTTCGTTAAAGAAATAAAATATGAATTCCTTATCTGTGTTAAAAAATAAGGATAGCTTCTTATACAAATTCTATAATTCCTTCTCAGACGAGGCTTTAATGGATAAGTGGGGCAAGTTACACCGTCAAGGTTTTAAAAACCATCACTGTCATCGTCATTATATCGCCCTGTTCATCAGGCAGAAAGTAACAAGTAAATCTGTGAAATTAAAACGAGATGTCAACCAAAATGCGAACAACCAGACGAACGGACTGAAAGAGGCTCGTTTTGCGTTTGTTTTTCAGTGGTTGGTTTTTGGGGGTTGCCGCAGCCACCGCAAGCCTCGTCCCCATCCGTCGTCGGCTCTTCATTTGTGTGCATGAAATATAAATACGTAACACATCCTGTGGATGCTACCGACTCCTGTGAAATGTCTGAGATTCATCCCCAGCGAGTGTGTGTGTGCTTGAGTGTGGCAGGTGTGTACATTGTATTGACGCCGGGAAAACCCCAAAACATATGGCTGATGATGATGATGGGAAAGGGTTAATTATTTTATGCGGTTGTGTTAATTTGATTAATGCAATTCGGGAATACTTTTGTTAATGAATACATCAACAAAAAGCCACTGTACATCATATGTCATCGTACATCCGCCAGTATGTACTCTCATTAACATTGACAGCCTAAATACATACGTGCTTCCAAGGCATTTTTCCTCGATTTTTCACGGCACGTTGCCAGATCTACTGCGGCAATTTTGAGCTCATTAAAAATTTTCAACTGAAATATTCCGCCGGAAGCCATGTGTGTGTGTGTGTGTGTGTTCGTTCACCCCCAACGAAGCACTGCTGTCCTTATTTGTTGGCACACACATTGTCTTTCGGAAGTTGAGCACCGTTTGGTTTTGTTTGATAAAAAAGAAATACAGACAACTCTACCCAGCATTTGCTAAAAGTCGCTACATTTAAAACCCTCCCTTCGTTTTAGATTAATTTACAGGAATAAATACTTTTAGCAGGCACTGTGTGCCACCGCATTTGCCGGCATGTTTCGTATTTTAGTTTTCCACATTTACTGAAATTAAACTACAGAATCGCACACGGATATATTTAATTAGATGACATACCCCTATTATGTTTTATTCAGGGCTGTGTGGGGGTGCACAGACCGCCGTAGATTTTGTTGCAACGTGATTTGTGTTCGAGTCACATCCGTGCAGGTGAAAATTAAGCTGCCGCATTTAAATGTGCATGCTAGGCAAACCCAAGGGTTCATTAACTAAGTCGGGATGAACGTGGGTTATATACTGTATCTCTTTGAATATTAGGTATTTTTCCTTTCAATTATTACTACTTTCGGGAAAAGTCTTTAAGTTGGGTAAACTTATGTTTTTATAACTCACAGAACCTGGTAAACCTGAAGCATTAACTTCTCAATTATTGTAAATGATACTTATCACTTGCTAATAGAAAAGTGAAGTAATATTGTCATCAGAACAGTTTAATCCCACCCCAAAAAAAGTTAATCGCTGTTGTTATAATAACATAAAAAAAACCTATTCTTAGAACAAGATTTTTTTCTCAACTGGCCTGCTGCTTAATCCTTAAAAAAATCCCAGAAAACCAATCAGTCTAGAAAGTGCCAACTTTTGCTGGTACTGCAATTTAAATAATGCATCAAATGAATTAAGTTGCCTGCCAAATGAAGACGACAGCACTTTCCGGGTCCCTGGCATTGAAGGTAAATGGAGCAAATCCTTCAGCAGCTGCAATAAAAATAGAATCAAGTTAACAAAGGAGTGAAATGAAGCGCAGACAAAAGCCAACCCACTAAGATGGCGACTGATTGTGAGTTTTATGTCACAAAAAAAGTGAACAAAGACCGGGGAATGGCAATAGTTCTTAGAAATATTTTTATAGAAAAGTAAGCGGACCGAACTGTTGAGCGGCACGTTAGTTCGTTTCCCCAAAATGAAATCAAACCGGGGACAGGGTTATGGGGGAGGTGATTGTGTCTGTGTATATGTCATTGATATATGGTTCGATCCGTCGATACAGGAAACACGCAGACACACAGGATGGCAATAAAAGCGGTAATGATGCGGCACGCTGGCGCACAGTCACATGAGCCGCCGGATATGAGTCTGTGCTTAAGAGTTGGTAGCCTTTAAAAAGTTGTTGACCATTCTTAATCGAAATTTTTAAATTTATAAACATCCCAGAATAGCATACAACTTGAAGAATAAAATAAATATTAATGGTATTTTATTGAAAGTAAAAGAAAATCATTAAGCCTACATAATAATATTTATGTATTATTTTGCTTCAGCGAATAAGGGGTCTTATTTTTATACCTCTGGGAGCCATTTACATTATTTGTTACCCCCTGAAGAATTTGAAATTTTTTCATTGCCAGTTAGTGCTGATGGTTTGTCTTTAAATTTAGCAGGTTTAGCATGTTTACTTACATTAATAACAAATGTCAATTATAAAGAATGGACTCATAATTCCAAATATTAATTAAGTAAAATGATATAAAATACATTTACATCTGAAATAATTATCAGAATAAATGGTTTTTTAAGAGAGAAAATAAATTCTTAATGTGTTCTTCGTATTAAATCGACAGCACTGACTTGAAAAACATATCTAAAGGGAACAATTTTTAAATACTCATGATTTTTAGGACGTTTATATGGTATCCAAAAACAAAGTTAGGGAAGTTTTACACTAACCCCTTTTTTTAATAAATTTGGTTTGAAAACAGAAGTATACTTTGTAAGCGGAAATATTAAGCTGCTTCTAAAAGTCATCTTTAAAATTAATATGTTTAGTATTAATAGGAATTGCTCAATAAAATTTTTTTGTCTAATTTTACTTTTCTTACATATATATTTTGTTTTATCATTTAAGTTTCAGTTGACATTTCTATGTGAGAAGTGTAAAAGTGTTGAAATTAAAAATTTCTTTAGTATAAATTGAAGTTCAGGGACTCATTAAATTCTTAATTGCTTTTAAAAACCTAAGCCTTGACTTAATTTGACCAGATTTTAGCAAACAAATGTGTTCAGTTTCAATCAAAAAGTCGGCAAGATTGCATGTTGAGATGGAATCTATTTGGCTTAAATTTTATATAATTTTGGTTTCAATTAATTCAAGTTTGAGTGCAAAACTATTGGAAAACATTGCAGAGAACTATTGTGAAGCATATTGTGGCGGCACTTGTAATGATGAAAAAACAAATAAAACCTGCGATGATGAGGATAGAAATTTTATAGTTACCAACGAATATCAATTGAAATTTATTGATGGCGAATTGGAAATTCAATGGAATTATCCACATGTTAAAGGTTGCAATATTACCCCAATTACGCAGGAGAAAAACAAAAAATTGAAAGTATTAATAGTAACTGAACGTATTCGTGACTGCCGAGGAGCTGACTATCTACGTCAACTTGGGGTGGAAACAGTGAATCGCTTCGAATTACACGAGGATGTATTCAGAGCATTCGAAAGAAGAGTCCATTATATGGATGGACCACAATCCTTGACTTTTAATTTCCTAGGCCCTGTGCTGTTTCATAAAATACGGAATTACATGGAAGTATCCATGAACAATCTACAGGAAATTATTATAAACGGTGACAATTTGACTGGGAGCAAAGCCGTTGAGATTGATGACGACATTTTTAGGGAGAAACCCCAATTGAAAAGTATTGCATTTGGTGGATTTAATATTTATAATTTAAAAGAGGAAGTTTTTTTCCCGGTCGTCAGTCTAGAAAAGTTGGAATTATCCAACGTTATAATTGAAAATTTTTCATTGATAAGGTTGGTATGAATCTTATATAAATTTCAACTTCTATAAGAATTTTTTTTTTAGTTTAAACCCACTTCAAAACAGTCTTCAACAATTGGTTTTGAACATTCCCCAAGAGGTGGACTTGAAGCACTTTAAGACTTTTTCCCAACTTAAATTGATAAAAGTCAGAAACTATATTTCTTACGATAACTTGACAGCCTTGATGTGCACTCCAACTGAATGTAAATTTGATAGAGGGATTAATGGCATAGCGTGTCCTGATGTATGCGATTGTCGATATAATTACGGATTTATGGAGTTGGAAATGAATTGCTCTAGCAGAGGTCTTACACAGATTCCTCCTCTACCGATTCCCATTATCGGAGACTCAAAACTAATATTTGAAAACAATAGTCTGTCAAAGTTGCCCGATAGCTCTTTGATGGGATATAGTAATTTGAGAGGACTGAACGTGGCCGGAAACCTATTAAGCAATTTGAGTATAAGGCACCTACCAAATAAATTAAATTATCTAGATATTAGGTTTAACAATGTGAAGCAAATGAAGTCAGATGTCATCGAATATATTCGAAATGTTAGCATCTTCAAACAGACTGGAAATCAATGGCTGGTTTATTGCAACGATGATCCCTTGTTAAATCTTTTTCGAAATCTTAAGAAATCAATGCGAATGAAAGCCAATAAACTGCGGCCGATACTAATACATTTATCACCACAATCCCCTGAGGGATTCCTCAAGTATCTGGGCCAGCATTTCCTAAGACTGGGATCAACCAGGCGAGGATATTTTATGATAAACGAGGATAAGCTAGTGCGGAGTATGCTTCAAAAGGTAGAGGATTTGGACAAACAAATGTATATCCGTGAGTCTATGGAGTGGTTGCATCGGAGTTTACCTTCTGTTAATGAGGAATACGAATCATTTTACCACTATCATATGGGTGGTGTCTGTCCCTACAAATGTGAATGCTGCCAGTACCACAATGAAACAAATATTAAAGTGGACTGCAAAAATAGATTCATGATTAATTTTCCAGACATAAATCATCATCAGAAATTAAAGAACATTACTGTGTACCTTGAACTGCATTTAGCAAACAATAATATATCAAAAATTACCCTTGAAATGCTTCCCAAAAAAATAAGTTACTTGGATTTGAGTAACAATAATTTACAGACTCTTGATGATAGGGTAGTGGGATTCCTCCGAAAGTTCAAGGACTCTGCCCAAATTAAACTCTCAGGAAATCCTTGGAAATGTCAATGTAACTACCGCTCCCTTCTCTCCTTCCTGAGGGATCATGATCCAAAGGAATACACTCTTATCCTGAATCGTTGCAATATTTCCCAAAGCGATTGCCCAGATTCCTGCGTCTGCTGCTTAGATGAGTCCACATGGCCCTCGTTCATAGTCGATTGCACTGGCGAAGGACTTGTGAATGTTCCAAAGATATCCCGTAAAGTAGGCTATCTGGACTTGAGGAACAACAAAATAAGCGAACTCAATCCAACGGAGGATATTTTGCTTGCAAACAGATCGCAGGCTTCTCCACTGAAACTTTTTATGAGTGGAAACCCCTGGTCCTGCACTTGTCGGGATGTGGAGTATCTCAATGCGTTGAAATCCATCTCGTCCCGAATTGCAGACTTCACCGAGATGACCTGTTCGAGTGGCGAAAAACTGCTTTCGATTGAGCAGGAGGACATCTGTCCCTCTGGACTTCCCTACTACCTAGCTCTGGCCGCCACCTTGACCTCTTTGCTGGTGATTACCAATTTTTTGGTATGTTTTCGGCAGCCGCTGCTAATCTGGCTCTATGAGCATGACCTCTTCCTGAGTCTGGCCGCCAGCATGGAGCTCGACCAAGACAAGAGGTACGACGCCTTTCTGGCCTTCACCCACAAGGATGAGGATCTGGTGGGGGAATTTGTGGAGCATTTGGAGAAGGGCAGGCCGTCCTTTCGGCTCTGTTTCTATCTACGCGATTGGCTGGCCGGCGAATGCATTCCCGACTGCATCACACGCTCCGTTCGCGACTCGCGTCGCATCATCATCCTGATGACGGCCAACTTCCTCAAGTCCACCTGGGGTCGCCTAGAGTTCCGGCTCGCCCTACACGCCACCTCCCAGGACCGTTGCAAGCGTTTAATTGTCGTCGTCTATCCGGATGTTGAGAGCTTCGATGACTTGGACAGTGAGCTGCGATCCTACATGGTGTTCAACACCTACTTGGAGCGAAGCCAGCCAAACTTCTGGAACAAGTTGATCTACTCGATGCCCCACGTGAAAATGCAGTAGTCTGAGGGTGTAGTTTTTTCTAACCTTTTATTTTTCATCCTGAAAACTAAAAATTGGTGTAACTTTTGGTTTGAATTTATTAAAATATAAACATGTAACATTAACTTTCACAAAGAAAGTAATATTCAGGTTACCTTCCTGTGAAATGTGGTTGTTATTTTTATAATAAAAATGAAATAGATAACAATAAACGCGAAAGTTTAGGAAAGTATCTATTCAGAAAACTTTTCAACACATTTTCGTATTTGAAATATGCATTTTTAAGAAAAAACTTGTCGAAGTGCTATGTCTTCTGATCTCACACACCTAACAAAAGAATAAATAGGAATTTAAAGCAAATATTTGTGGGCATTCACAAGCTATTTATGCATTTTTTGTTTAAAAAAAAAAATGAAATATTCGCTAGATAACATCAATGGTGGCACCATCAAAAATCGATGTTTTTACAAATTTAAAAATCATCGAAGCTTTGATGCTTCCTTCCATCACTACCTTTATCGATATTCCTTGACAGCTTGTTACTGCCACTCCTAACAATTGTCATTGAAAGTCATTGAAAGTAAACAAAAAAGTAAAAAAAATGTCTCAAGAACCATCAGATGCGTATTTCTCTGAACCTGAGGCCGTTTTAAACAAACAACCCAATGAGGAAGGATCCTCTGATGGCGTCAAGATGGGCAAATCCACCAAGCGCAAAAGAAGCTCAGATCCGAAGAGTTATTCCAAAAGTAAGAACGGAACCGGACACTGGCGTAAGCGACGTGTTGACGATATGGAGCAGTGTGCCAAGCGAATGAAGTGCTTATCCCTGCAGACCGAGAGCAGCCCAAAGAAGAGGGAATTCAATCCCTTTGATATCGATGACGGCTATGAAGGAGACTGCGAGATCTGACTAAGCATCTTCAATAAATGAATTCAACGCTGCAATAAATATTGTTTTTATTGGACCTTACGTCCTGGGGTACTAGGTACTCTAGGTCATCAAGGATCAAGAATAGATCAATAGCGATAAGGTGACACTGTAGACTCGGGAAAGATCCTAAAATTTTGCCAACAAAATTCAAGAGAAAAAAACCCTCTTTTCAAATATTGCGTTATTTGATGTTTTTAATTTTTATTGTTCCGATTCTTCTGGCATGAAATATATAATATATATATAGATATATATATTAAAAATAATTTTAATGAACCCATCGATATTCTTCAACACCACAAACATTTGATGTTCCAGTTTGACATGGTGGTTTCAAGAGTCCAAATGCTTTCCAATTCAGCAGCAAGAATAGCCGCAATAGCAGCCTCTGCAGGGTCCGCAGGGTCCACACGGTCCACAAGGTCCACACGGTCCACAGCCGCCGCAAGGACCACAGCCACCACATGGGCCGCAGCCTCCGCAGCAGTCCTGGGGAAAAGGAGTCAACAATTAGTAGACCCCCCCAAGATATTTTAATCTTTGTACTTACATTCACCAAGACGTAATTAGCATTCACGTACATATACATGATTTTTTTTGTTTTTTTTTTTTTGCGTTTGCTTGCCGACCGAAAACTAAAGGAAACTTGAAACCACCGGAAATTTTTTTTAGGTGAGAACTGAGGAAAGGTGAGAACGAAATGACGAAAGCCCAACGAATCGTTCGGAACTACAGTTGACAGCTGCTGTTCGGATTTTCAATGCTGACTTGATGGAAAAAAAACTCAGATCAATAGAGCTTTACCAAAAGTGAAAACGGAAATGGACAAAGGCGTAAGCAATGTGCTTATGGTGTTGATGGAATGAAAATGTGTTCCAAGCCTATAAAGTGCATGTCCTTTCATATCCCTGTATCTCCCTGAAACGCCCAAAGAGGAAGGAATGATTCCGTATTACCATTAGGATGCACACCGTATGCAAAATCTGAGGGTCTTCGGAAGATTCCTAATCACTCTGCCTATAAATATATATAAAGAAAAAATTTTAAAAATTATATTGTAGTATTCTTCCAACGCAGGTGTACCAGTATCCGATTAAATAAATAATCTCATCCGTTTAGGAGTAGTACAGGTGATGTTTATTCTTAGTAATACATAAGAACAAAAGATATTCGTCTCGACCTTTATAGGGGAATACAAGCAAATTAGTGTGGCCAAAATCAGTGTTCTTAGATGCCTAAAACGGAGCTCCCAGATTGGAACTTTGGGCAGAGGTCCCTGATTCGAACAAATAAATATTTCAAATGTAGTTTTTATATTTTTATTATTCCAATAATTGTGAAATATATTATACATATATGTATTTGATTAAAGTGAAGTGAATGGAACTTCTTCAACACCACACACATTTAGATCTTCCAATTTCATATGGTGGTTTCAAGAGTTCAAAAGCATTCCAATTCGGCAGCAGGATCTGCAGGATCAACAACCCTCCTCAGTAACCACAAGGTCCACTTACACCCTGGGGTATATTTCCACTTTGCTGTCCATATCCACCTTTCTGTCCATATCCACCTTGCTGTCCATTTCCACCTTGCTGTCCATATCCACCTTGCTGTCCATATCCACCTTGCTGACCATTTCCACCTTGCTGACCATTTCCACCTTGCTGACCATTTCCACCTTGCTGTCCATTTCCACCTTGGCGTGCATTCCCAGCTTGCTGTCCATTTCCGCCTTGCGGTCCATTTCCGCTTTGCGCTCCGTTTCCACCTTGCGATCCATTTCCACCTTGCGGTGCAGGACCGCCACCGCTAGATGGACCACCACAGATCGAGCAGCAAGGGTCCTGGTAAAAAGGAAGTGTTCACATTTAGTAGCCCGCCCCCAGATTAGTAAGATCCTTGCACTTACGTTTGTTAAGATGTAATCTGGATTTGTGTACAAATACATGATTAAATTCTTGAACGCTGCGTGCCGATCGAAAACTAAAGAAAACTTGAAACCACCGAAAAATTTAGTTGCGAAATTTAGGGGACAAAAGTTGAGAAGTGACGAAAGGTGAGAACGAACTGATGAAAGCCTAATGAAAAGTTCAACCTATTAATGACAATCGTTATTCCAAATTTACTCAGCAAACTAGATTTCTGAAAAAGAAATTAGTTTTTCGTTTGAGAGACCCAAAATTTTTAATCAAGTTAGCTGTGGCTAATGTGGGTAGCTTGTCAAAAGCATATCCATGTGGAAGCCTGGGCTTTTCATCATTCCTGTGTAACATCTCGGCCTGAAAACATCTAAATTTCTTTGTCCTCTCGTATTATTTCCTTGTTCGGTTCAAAGTATGTAAAAGTTGATATTTAAGTGAAAAGTTTAAAAGTTTATATACAATTTTGGTATTTTTAGAAGCTATAGAATCATGTGTTGTGGACCTCTTGGATTCTGTGGACCTTGCAGTCCCTGTGGCGGACCTTGTGGTCCTTGTGGACCATGTGGGCCCTGTGGACCCTGCTGCGGCGGCTGTGTGCCATGTGGGCCTTGTGGGCCTTGTGGGCCTTGTGGCCCTTGTGGGCCTTGTTGCGGACCTTGTGGACCCTGTGGACCTTGCTGCGGCGGCTGCTGGTGTTAGTTAACAACAGTTTCAGGACACGGACCATGATTCATTTAACACCTGTTACGGCATAACCGGAAATAATAATCTTGGGACTTTAAAAAAAATTATTTGTTTTCTTTTGAGAATTCGAGTTGATCTAGATATGTCCGTTTGTCCGTCCGCGAATGTCTGCGAAACGGATGATAATACCAAATTGTCAAATTCATAGGCAATTTTTAATTTTTTAAACTTTAAAATAATACAGATTTGTTGATCTAACTATCTTTTAAATGCTCTCCGAATTGAAATTGATGAATTTTTGGTTTAGTTACATTACTTTTGTAAATTGCAAGGGCTTCCCGAAGCTAGCATCTATTACCCTTCTTGTAATTGTTATGCTTTACAAATATTATAAACTTCATTATTCTTTTTATTTTTATTATTATGATCAATAAAACTTGAGTGTATTTACCCAGTTATAAGGCCGCTCTCTTTTAGATTAGTGGAATTTCTTCTGCTGACTCTTATCAAGCTCTTATAAAGCTCTTTGCATTATCTACCCTTATCTAAGGTTTCAAAAATCGTATAAGAAGGGAAACTTTCCGTCTTAATGAGTCAGTTTTCTCCAGACTTGTATTATTACCATGCAAATCGCTGCTCTAGTTGTCACAGCCTTTGTGCTGGCCGTAATTGGAGGCGTTAGTTCCGAATGCTGTCGAACCAAGGTGGATCTTTTGTACAAAATCTCAAATGGTGGATGCGGTGACGTTGGAGGACATAGATCCGGAGAGTTTTGCAAAGTCAAAATCTGCGCAAACGGCGATGCCTTGGTGGGCACTTGGTGCGGAAAGGGATCCTGCAACTGGTTCGGATGCGCCTGCAAGAACGGATGTGTGAGTGGCAACTGGACACAGGATTTCTTGGCCAAAAATAGACGATACAATATCCAAATTTTGGATGCCAAATGGCGGTAGATTTAAGTTAATCTAAATCGATGCTTTTAAAACCGCAAACCATTGTAAAAATACATATAATTTGTGTTTTTTTCAACGATAAACAAACATTATTGTTTATAAATATTAAAACCTTGGTTCTAAATTGTCCAAATCTCTTATTTTTCATTAAAATAATTGGTAATCAGCATGTGTTTTTTTTGTGTTTAAAAAGGAATTCACCGAAACTGATCTAAAGACGGAAAGTTTCCCCTTGCGTTTTAAAGTGTATTTACCTAATAAATATGGGTTTCTTGGAATGTCTTCTTCGTCATCTTTATTACTCTTTATCTAATGTTTCATCTTAAAAACAATTAACATAAAATGAAGCTTATATTCGTGGGCTGAGTCAGCTTTCTCCAGACAATAAACTATGCGAATCGCTAGTAAACGCTATCGTTTATGACGATCTTAGCACCTTCAAACCTAAAGATTATATAGAAACATATAACTATATTTAAAATGTACAATTTTAAGGTCTAAATCCCAATCAAGTCTGCCTTGAAAATATTTCTTCCCATGTCAAACTCAATGTACTACAAAGGCCTCTGAATAATTTCATTCTCTTTCGGAGATCTGTCCAGTAAACATCTAAATTTGTTGTTTTGTCTCGATTTGTTATTTGTCCGGTTCAAGTAAGTAAAAAAATAAAAATGTGACGAATTTTTTTCTTAACAAAATACAAATACAAAAAAAATTTGATTTTTTTTTAGTCATCTACAAATTCGTCATGTGCTGTGGACCTTGTGGAGTGTGCTGCGGACCCTGCGGTCGTTGCTGTGGTCCTTGCACACCATGCTGCGTACCCTACTGTGCCCCCTGCTGCACTCCATGCTGCTCGCCCTGCTGTTCACCTTTCTGCAGTCCTTGCTGCAGTCCCTGCTGTGGCGGCTGCTGGTGCTAAAGGGAGCCGTAACTTGCAACCAAGCCCCCCCTCCCATAACCATGTCCATTCCACTCAAGCCATGACTGTTCCAACACCTGGATAGACTTGACCGCAAATAATGATTCAAGATAGTGCAACAATAAAAAAAATTAAACCATAGGTAGCTTATATTTCTTTAGGGGGAAGATATTAATGGGGAGAAATTGTTGGATCTAGTTATAGGGCGAGACAGTTGGTGTTCTTCAATTTTGTGGAAGCATACTTGAAGATCGTTCCTTTTTTATAGAGCGGATTTGGTATGGAAGAATACCACTCGACTGACATTTCTAAGATATGATTTGAATTTATTGCAATAAGATTTTTGGGAAAAGCCGAAAATGTCCGTGTTACAATGGTATTTTAGTTATTAATTGCGGCCCACCTAGTCCGGTGAAATCTTTTTGAACATTCAATGTAAATTGTATTTTAGAAATTTGCCAACGTTCCGACTGTATAAAAATGTCTAAAAATACCTCAAAATATTCCTAATAGCTGGTTGAAAATTTAAAGTGCTAAGTCTTAAGCGTTTTTAAATACTTTTCAGTGATATGGTTTATAATAACATTTATAATATTTATACCTAGAAGGCTGAGAACTTGAATTCGTATCTTCTCAGGCCCATTCGTAATGAAATAAATCATTACTCAACCTTTTTCCGGCCCGATAACATCTAAATTTATACTCTAGTCATAGGCTTAATTTTAACGTAAGACAATTTAATTAATAGCCATGGGGAATTAGAAATATGGGATTATTTATAGATCAATCATGTGCTATGTAAAAGGTGGACCTTGTTGTGGACCTTATTGTGGACCTTGCTGTAGTCCTTGCTGTCATCCTAGCTGTGGACCCTGCGATCCTTGCTATGGATCTTGCTGTGGACCCTGCTATGAATCGTGCTGCGTACCTTGTTGTGGTCCATGTGGGCCATGCTCTGAACCTATGGAAAAACGCAATGGTCTTCAGCAAAACAGTGATCTCTCTAAATGTTCTGAGCCACGCTCTGATTCCTCTAAATCTGCTGGGTCATCTTCTAAGCCAGCCTCAGGAAAATCTTCTGGAGGGTCCGGTGGAGGTAGTGAAAAACGCAATGGCCTTCAGGATTGCCCTTATTAACAGGTCTTTCGATCAACACTGCCTGAAACTAGAGTAACAAAAACTAATAAATAAAAGGGCCGGGAATTGAGTAAAAAAATATTGATCTTCGTTTTATTTTTAGTACAATCTAAACTGCATAAGAATACTCGTAAGGTTTGCAAAGAGTAATTACATATTTTATAGTATTAGATGCGTTATTTTTCAACTCTCCAACTGATAAATAATATATATAATTTATAATATTATAGTATATCATATTATATTGACTATGAAAATGTATCAAGCTAGCTTTGCATCAAATGTAAGTGTTCATAGTTCTCGTTTAACGAAAACAAGTCACTTTTCATCTGCATTCCGTACTGAACACATCAAAATTCTCTACTAGTCTAGAGCCTTTTCCTTTCTTTCTTTTTGGTTCAGTGTAGGTATAAAAAAATACTATAAATTAAATATTTTATTGAAAGATTTCTTTAGAACTTTACGGATATGGGCTGTACACCTGGCTGCGGATCTTGTGGACCCTGCTGCGGTCCTTGCGGTCCCTGCTGTGGACCTTGTGGGCCTTGTGGTCCTTGTGGACCTTGTGGTCCTTGTGGACCTTGTGGTCCTTGTGGGCCTTGTGGGCCTTGTGGCCCTTGTGGTCCGTGTGGGCCTTGCGGACCCTCTTGTGGACCATGTGGAGGATGTGGACCCACTCGACCCAGCTGTGGACCCACGGAAAAACGCAACGGCCTTCAAAAATGCACTCCTTATGGCCCCGCTTCTGGAGGCTTTTGTTGTTAATTTCCATTTCAAAGACTTAATGTGTAGAAAACATCCATCACCCATTGAACCATACAATTCCACCAAAGGAAGATTTGCTAAAGGGATTACTAGATTTGAGATTTGGTCAATAATAAAATGAGCGGATCGTAAAGAAAGTTTAATTTTTATTTATTAACTAATTAAACTATAGAAAGGTGAAAAGGCTTATAGAAAGCAAAACACCAGGTATATCATTTTATTAGTTTCACAATAATTACCTCGACAGCTTCTGTGCAGGTATTTTTAATATAATGAATAAAGTTTGATAATTAAATCTCCGCAATACAAAAGTAGTTCATCAAAGTGCTTATTTAATTGCATAATTTTATGGAAAATATAGCTTTGTTTTAGTAAACTATGTTTGTCCTTCGGATGACAATATATATACGTTGTATCATACACTGAAAATTACAATACATTATAGTTTTTGACAACCAGTAGAGAAACGCATAAGGAAAGTCATTGTTTTCTACCGTGCACACTTATGTTGTTATTCACTTGCCGGGCTAATGGGCAAATGGCAAAGGATTCCAGAAAAACAGAAAAGTCCAGGGGAAATGCCAAGCCAACAAGGACAATGGACCAGGTTAAGTCCGCAGCTTGTGGCTAGCAATAAGCTTACTCACACACATGGCTGGGCCAAAGAACCATTGCCATGGGGATACACTACAGGCAATACGTAGTTGGAGACGTAGCATTTAATTTATGCCAACATGCTCGAGGTAATTGAGGCAATGGCAATGGCAATGCAACTACACAATAAAAGTAGTCCTGGCTGCGCAGCATTTAAATTAGCCAACTAGGGGATTTTAATTAGTGTCAAGTGCTTCGAAATAAATGATGGTGCAGAACCAACCAGGGGAGGAGGAGTGGGCCCCTCTGGCTGTGGCCAATCAAAGCTGATTGCTAGAAACGTTACTCATACGCCCCGTGTGGCAGAGGAAAGTCAATTATTAATGGCAGCCCGGCTCGAGTGCAGACTGCTGACATCTCAATTCAAGCTGGAAATCAGGCAGGCAAATTGTTTATTGTGCGCAAGCAATAGAATGCCGGCGAGAATGTCTGGGGAACTGATTTTCATCATTCATTTTGCCAGTCGACTTTTCCGCTTTCCACGCTGAATTATGAGGGCGCTGCCTGCACGTGTGTGTTTGTGTGTGAAAGCTCTCGATGACGCAGTTCGGGGAATTCTAGGAACCAAGGGGTAAAAAGAGCGGCAGAAGCATTCGAGTCGGATGGCATGCAAATGGATACACATCCTTCCTGCAATTCGAGTACCGACAAACGGAATGAATGCAGGCTATATTAACTCATAAGAATCTCAATAAAACCAAGTAATTCAAGAATGCGCATATGCTGCAAGTGTTAATTTAAGTATCTTGGGAGTTTTAAGTTATATAAACTTCTCAAAAATCCCCATTTCCGAAATGTGTGTCAGTCCCAGTCGGCTTTTGGTGGGAAGTCGCATCTGGACCTTTCCAAAATTACTCGTTTTTTTTGGCGTTTCAAGGACCACCCAACCCTATCTCGACCGCCAGCCATGTCTGTGGCCAACGGCGGCAGAGATGGATCCCGGGCAAGGACTTGGAGCAGCCGCAGTTCCTCCTCGGTGGCAGAGACCATGCAGATCGGTGATGGACCGCAAGTACGGCGCCAGCGTCCGAGTCGCCCGAATCCACCCTACCGGGTCAGTAACCGACTAATAGCGGCCGTGGAGCAGCGTCTCCGGACCAGTTCACTCCGCCGTGCCGCCCTGTTGCGCAAGCTGAGGCTCCAGCGGAGCCTGGAATTCTACAGCGGGCTGAGAAGCAGTCAGACAGGTCCTGCGGCTGTGTTCGGTTACCATCATGCCATCGCCGTTGACCAGCCGGTCTTTGGCAACTGGTATGGCATGGGATTGCTGCCCAGTCATGATGCCGATGAGGAGGATCCTGGTAGCCACCACTGGGAGGCAGCTCAGCTGCATTTCCAGCAGTATCTGGGACAGAGGCCACCCATCCACCAGCCAAACAGGTCCTTCTTGCTCAGTCTGGATCGAAGTCACCTAAAGCTGGTCGCCGACCTGCTTTACGAATGGGGTCTTAAGGAGGTCCTGCGACTGGGCCTTAACGAGGTATTCTGTTTGTTCCACCCTTAACCCTTTGCGGATCGAAAAATAAAATTATAAGTCGTTTCCATGGATTCCATCTTGATGAAAGTCAGCTCCCCAACGAGAACTTCATGCATATGCAGGGCGTTGCTATCATCTGACCCAGTGGGGAAAAGCTCTTCCAAAGAGGCACTGGCACTGCCGCGGGTTACTTTCCTTGTCCAAGATCTTCTGTGGCACTATTCGCCGTTGTTGTGCATTTATGGAAATCGCATGCCGTTGTGTATGCACCAGCACAATGTGTTTGGGCGTTAGTGCTTCGGTGGGGAAGCTGCGTGGCCACAACAATGAGGAACTTGTAACCGAAAAACGAATTTAAGATGCGCTTTTATTTTTAAGACTTAAAGGAATTTACTTACAAATAGAAAATATGTTTTATTGGACATGCATCAAGACGAGACCGTATAGCAGAAGAAAAGTTCAGCAGTTTGCTTCAAACAGTCTGTTGTGCTTCCTGCTTCCTTCGTTTATCCGGCTCGAAGGACCTATCTATATTTGAAAGGATACTTACTAAAAGGGTTACTAAGATGGTAGAATACATATCCCACAAAGAACCCAGTTAAAAGAATATGATTTTTATCATTTTACATAATAGTTTATGTAGTTCTTTAAAAATATGAAGCAGGTTTTATGTCTGGACTATCATAGAGAGGAAAATTTTCATAATGAAGAGCATTCCAAATTCGTGGTTCGCCTGTCCTCTGAGACTCGCATATGCCGCAAGTTTTACACAACGCTGCCGAAATAACAAGCGATGAACAGGGCGCCCAACACGCGTGCATCTGGATTCCGTACACACACACACCACCCACCCGCACACACACACACACACCACCCAAAACACGCATACACCACACACACCCACACACAAAAACACATGCACAGAAGACGCGCTGCTACGTTCATTTTGCGCCTTATCTGCGGTCGCAAGTGTTGCGCCATCGCAGCCCGAGTGCCTGATATTATGCTAATTTCTGGGTTTTTATGCAGCCAACATGGAGCAGCAGGAGCAGCAGCAGAAATCTGCATCCCCATGGCCGAATCTCCGCCAGCTCCGCGGTCTCCTCCAGCTGCTGCATGTGTTGGTTGTCGGTCGGGCGTTGGTTGTTCCTTGTTGGCTCTTGCTGCTCCGGCTGTGCATTTTGTAGCATAAGCACTGAGAGAAATAATATAACCAAGAAAATGTGGAAGGTGTTTCTAAAGTATAATATCAAGAAAATTGTATAGATCACACATATCATAAAAATAGGTTAATTCTTATTTCCAAGCAAAGAAATAATTTTGCTTTCAAATTAATTTGAGATTCTTAACCTTTTTATTTAGAGTGCCAAAGCCTTGGCGATGAATTCTAGGTTGAAAAAGGGGGGTTGGGTTGCCCTGCTGATAACGCAGCATTAATAACACCCTCATGGCCGCCTCGCTTTTACTTGATGATTGAAAATCCAGCAAACTGCTCCCGCGCCCCAAAGTATGCACCACTCATTTACTTATCAGGCCCGGGAGCTGCTAGCTATAGCCCCAGCGAAGCAAAGTCCACACGAGAATTTGTGGCACATTTGGGAGCTAAGCAGCGGGCAAAAAGCATTACAGAAAAAAGGAGTCAAGCAGCAGCTGCTGCTGCTTCTTCCATTTCCATTGCCATTGCCATTGCCTCTGGTCTCTAGTCTCCGGTCTCTTGTTGTGGCCAGTGTTAACATAAAACTTGTCCAGCGATAAACCCTGAGTCCGCCCAGGACATTGTCCAGCCGAACATTTGTTAGCCAGCCCTTGGCTCCTGCTCCTGGGATGGCTTTCTGGACACTCTTTCGACTGCATATTCAGCCTATTTTCTGGTTCCATTTCGTCCTAGTCGAAGGGGTTTTAAAAATTCTTGGCTTTGGCTCTCTTTACACTAGTCTAGTACTCTCTGTATTTCCAGCATTTTGTACAGGATATTTAGTAAGTAAATAAGTGCCATATACTTAAGAAAAGAGTATCAAAACGGTAAGAATTTCCCCGAGAATATCCTAGATGCCTCCTATTACTTTCTTAAGAGCTAAGTTACTAAAAAGATTATAATTTTCTAATGTAAATATTTTCCTGGTGACTGAGTAATAAGTATTTCATTGTGCCCTGTTTTCTATTCATTGTCTTAGTTAGTTTAATATTAAAATGTTCCACTTTGTCTACAAATATAGAGTTGCAAGTGTCTGCTCTTCAATCCCTCAGAAAAAGCCCACGAAAATATAATGAATTACTTACCCAAAGTCAGGTAATATATTCATTTTTGTATAATATTCTACCTCACCACAAAACTTCACTCCACGAAACGAAAACAATTCTTCAGAGAACAAAAAAAGGACTTTATCAGCCTTATCACCACCCACCAGGGCAACGGGTTAATGAATTCCAGTCGTAATTATCCGGCCAAGGGGAGTGATTACCCCAAAGAGACCCGGCTCAGAGCGAAATGTTATAACCACCAGCCAAGGGATCCTTTTAATTATTGTTTATAACAGGCGGATGCAACTTTATCTTGTTTATTTTATGCATATTTTTTCCGGCTTTCTCGCCCAACATTTAAATATTCGAACTACGGTAAAGTTTCGATTGTGTTTGCAGTTTTTCCGCTGAATATTTATCCAATTGATATTGCCCGGCAATTGGTCTTTGTTTTTCTCTTCTTTTTTCATGAATTTTTTTTTAAGGTCCATTTCGATTGTATATTTAATTGAATGATTCCTTTTTGCCCCTTGAACCCAATTAAGTCAATTGTTAAGTTAAAACTTAGAAGAAGAACTTGACTCTAAAGACAATCTTAACATTCCGAAATTATTGCAAAGTCAAGGCTTTATTTATAGAGTGATTTGTTTGTATAAACTCTTTGGTAAATCACCCGTAGAGACACAAGTATATCGAATCGTTAAATTTCAGTTGGATTTTGTTTCAACAGCATCGTTTCAATGCCTAAAGTTGATAACCTTTGAGGGTTAGCCGACTGCCTTTGGCCGATTTCAATGCGTCAACGTCTGTGTCTGCTTCGCTTGTCATGCATTTTACGCATGAGAAAGTATTTTCAGTTAACAAGTGCGAGGGTGGCAAAAAAAATGTATCCCCAATGCAGGAGTGCACGAGGAGATTCCCATAAAAATAAATCGAAATGGAACGAAGGGAGACGGAGCTGGAGCCCGGTGCCCGGAGAGGGAGTGTCGGGATAACAAACGGCGATGCTCCTTGCCAACGGAACGGGTTTGTTTATGGCGCGATATGAATGACACGTGACTGGGAGACACCAGACAAGCGGCAGGAGCAGGAGCAGTAGCAGGAGCAGCAGCAGCCTCGCCAGACGCTCACAAAAATTATGAAATTTAGCGCAAGCCACAGGAGCTGGAGGTTGCTGGAGGGAGAAAAAAAGGCTTACACTGGTCTCACGCACACTGCGGCATATTCAGCTATGTGACAGCTCTGCCATATCGCACCTGCTGCACCCATACTCATACACACACTCACACACACACAAACCCGACAGGTGTAGAAGCTGGTAAGCAAAAACCGACGGCCAATGCGCTTAGCACTTTCATTTCGTTTGCTGCAAATTGCTTAACCACAATGCATATGTATGCATAACGCTGACTCTCACATGGCCAAATACACAGGGAGAAATAAAGGTCAATTTGACTTGAGTGTAATGGGAAATAATTGTTAATTTTAGGTTGGAAAGTATTCCTTTTCTTATGGTATATAAAAACCATTTAATATGGAATATGCAAGAGCTTCTTTAAAGACAACTAAAGCTATAGAAATTTATAAAAACTTATGATAACTATTATAAGTTTGTATTAATTATGTTGTCTTAAGTATATCTTCTATATGTATACATAAAATAAGTTGAAAGTATTTATAATTCCATATTTATTAAATTAAAATAACAACTAACCTTTACCTTTACTTAAAAGTTATAAGTTCTTAAAATCTTAGTAAACTTCAAAACCAAAGATCAAGATCAAGACCAAAATCATTTCCATTTCTTACAAGAAAATTACATATAAACTATCCTTAGAACTTAAGAAATCTTAGAAGTTATTCTCTACAATTTTAAATACTTATTAAATTAATAAATTAATATAAAATCCATTCAAAAATCTTCGGAAATTCTTTCGGTGTAAGGACATATATGATGGCATTAGTAACGTGAGCCCAATGTGGTTTTTTCCTTGGGCGACTGTTGCAAGGTGTCGCTGGCAGCTGCTCGGCTCAATCTAGCTGCTAACGGTTTAACGCTTTGCTGCCCTTTTTCCAAGGATTTCCCCCAACTCGCAACGAGGTGTAGCTTTAGGCACTCATTTGCGGTTGCCAGGCAGGCAGACAGACAGAGAGATGGGAATCGTTTTTGCACAAGAATAACAACAACCAAACAATGTTTTGACAAAAAAAAAATTAAATTAAATTCCGTGTAATTAGTTAAAGCTTCTTCTCCTGGTTGAGAGCTTCAAAGGCCGCTCCCACTTCCATCAAATAATTGGTTTTGATTTATTCACAGACCCATTTCTATTTTAAACATAAAATGTTATTTATTTCCTTTTCGTCCTTCCTGAAAAGTAGGCAACAATTCGTGATGAAATCCCCGTTATAAGCTCAGATGTGTGTGTGTGTGTGTGTGCATGTGTGGGTGTTCTTAATACGCATTACCGTAGGTGTCTATAGGCTGATTATGACAGTGTTTGCATTTTCCCATCCCGGATCCTTTATGCTGAAAATGTGTAAAGGAAATGAAAACACACACTCGATTTTCTTACCGAGAGCTTAAAGCTGAACGAATCGACGAGTCCTAAGCCCAATAGATATTTGAATTGAATAGTCCTTGCAAAGAAAAGAGAATTCTCTGCGAATAAATTCCCAATCAATTTTTTTGTATAAGAACCCTCAGTCTATCTCCTTGAAGTGAAAACTTGAAATTTTTGGTATTTAAAGATGCTGCATTTTATTTATTTCACTTTATTTTCCACTTTACCTAACAGCCATAATAAGTGCACAACAAATTCTTGGCAATCAATTACAAAAGTTGCTACCGAGTTTAGTTCCTTGAAACTTCTTGCTTCTTGTTTGTCGACTTTTGCACCGTTTAATAGCCACGCTTGACTAATCGTTATAATCGCTCTTGATTATTATTTGGCCAGTTGGTGACTAAACTCGTCATTAGTTTTATGGCTCTATGATTTGAGGTCAAAACTAATCTCTTGTGTGTGCAAAAAAAGATTTTGGTTTAGATAAAAATTTAAATTTAACTTTTGATGCACATTCCTGCATTTATTTTAATGGTTTTTTGAGGAAAATAAATGTTTGGGAAGATTTTTTAATTACTATTATAAATAATTTTTCTGGAATATGCAATATATTGTATATGAAGAAGTCTCTAGTTTGCAGTTAGTCTTCTATATACTCTCACTAGTATATAAGTCGAAACGGGCCGGATTGAAGGTCTATGTACATACATATATACAAAGCTTTCATAGGAAACATTAGAAACATTTTTTGAATAAAAGGTTTTTAACATATTTTCATCTAATTTGTGATGGCGTTACCATTTAGTATTTAATAGTTTTGGTTTTATTTGTATTAAAATCGAACAACTATATCATATAACTGCTATAGAAACAATCGTTAAATGTACATACATATGTATATCTCTTTGTGCATCTCTACAGACCTCTTTCTCTCTCTCTCTCTCTCTCTCTCTCTGTCTCTCTCTTTTGTACACCTCTAGAGACCTCTTTTGTCTATCTCTTTCTGCCTACCTCTAGAGAAATCTCTTTCTCTTCCGTACTCTCGCTCTCACTTTCTCTCTTCTTCTCTTTACTCGCAGACTATAAATAGAGACGCTGCAGTTGCACCGACCTCATTCTGTTCGCGGCCTCCCAAGTGTTCACATCTATAGTGATGGTCCTAGTGATAAAGATTGCCCTTCGACCTCAGATATAACATCTGAGCTATGCATTTATTTAAATCTAAAGTGATATTGCATTTTGTAATAATATCTGAATTTAAATTATTGCAACTTTGTCTTAGTTATGATTGATTTCAATTTGAACCCATGTTCCCATACCTTAGCTTCTTAAAGTTAACTTCCTTTTTTATTTAAATATAAAATTACTAATTTATGTGTATATAAAGTATTTACTATCAATTTCACATCCGTCTGTTTGTTACACATAAAGTAATTGTTAGATGAGATAGTCCTCCTTTGGTTAACGGAAGCGAACCTGTCAAATGCAATGCGACTTGAACTCCACGCAACCACAGGCACTCCCACAATGGATACACTCAGCATCCAAAAGCATTTCACCACCCACCACCCACCTCCCATCAACCACAATGCCACACGCACGCAGGCCACTCGCACTTCCTGTTTTTTGTTTCCGTGGGCCACAAAGTCAAACGTCGAATATTAAACAACATTTGGCTGTCAGAGTGGCGGTGGATCGAAGCCGCAGTGCCGCAGTCCTGGCCAATAGATGGGTTTTTGCCCCACCCAGTTTACATGTTACGTGGCCAACCTCCTGGCGATTTCTCATTCATTGGGAAAGTGGGGAAAACACAGGGAAAATATGTCAAATGCCAAATGCCATTCTTTAGCCTGAAATATTAAGATGGCCACGATCTGTCCGTGGAGCAAGTGTCAATTTGATTAATTGAGCAACATGCTGCTCCCGCTGGTTTTCGCCTAAGATGCTGTTATCCCTGGGAAGAAAGGAAAACTTTTTACGTAGTGTCCTTGGCGAGGAATTCAATAAAAGCATTGCATAATTTAGCCCCGCGCTCTCTCTCTCTCTCTTTGGGACAACTTTGTTTCACCCTTTTTTTCGGGGTTGGCTAAGGCGGAAATGAATTTTTCCGCTTGACCCAAATTCGCTAACATGTATAAATCCAATGTTTGTTTAAGCTTTAACTTTGGGATTACTATTTTTTGCATGTATCTCAATTGAACTTGAGAGGCAAAGTGATGAGATAATTTATGCTGAAAGTGTTAAGTGGTCGATGAAATGTGAAGTGGGCCAAAGTACACAAAGTCGGAAAAGGGTGTGAGTGACTGTGGAAAGTTTATCCATGGAATGAGTTTTACAAAATAGCATTTCACGAGTCCTGTGTTTGTGCCATCTTTAAATCATACGTTTTTCCCTCCCCTTGGTTGCCGCTCATCTGGCTTGTTCCACAACTGATATATTGTCATTCATATGTTGTGTCAGCAATTTGTTAGCTTTATGGCTACTGCCACGCCCCCAGCTGTCGGCCCCAAAAAGAACACAGGGCGGGGAGGGGCGGTGTGATCGGGAAAAAAGTAATAGGAGCGGAAAAGGGAAAACCCAAAACTTGCGTACATAAATTGTATTTATGCACTCGACCCTCTGCATTCTGTCATTTCCTGATTTCATCGTTTTTATGTGGCATTGTTTCACAAAAAAATGAAGGAAATTGTATAATGAATACATGCACAGATTCAGAAAAAATAAATATTTAAAGAGAGTTTACTATAGTTTTAATTCAATTAATTTATGAATAGTTAAAGCTGCTACTTCTTTATTGATTATTTTATTGTATAAAGCTAAAAGTTCTTATAATTATTTAATATATGCAGTTTTGTAGGTAACCTCCTTTCACATTTTTCCTTTTATATTTATTATCAATCGATTGATTACAAATTTGAATATCCAAGTCACTCCATCAGCTTTAAACTTTGAAAGTTTTTATCGTTTATGTAAACGCATGTTTGTGTCATTTTGCAGTTTATTACCTTGATTACAGTTCAACTTGTGTAACTTGTAAAGCGAAGCAGCAAAGGTTACTAAAAAAGTTATTTTTGCTGCAGTCCCTCCCCGTAAAGTTTTTTACAACTCAGGCAAAAAATTTATATTTGATCATAAGTTGTCAGATTAGTCAGATGTTGCAGCAACCAAAGCAAACGAAATCAAACATTTCAGAGATAGCTCTCTAGTCAACTTTGAATCTAGCTTTATATTTGTAAATTCAAAATGGGAGATCCTCGTAATCGTATCTTAAAGGATCTAATAAACTCGTTCCACTATCATGAACAATTCAAAAAGTTTCATTTGCAATGCCTTGATTCTGAGAAAAGAGGATTGCGGCAAAGTATGGAAAACTGGGAAACGACACACAGAACTTTCGAACGCCTGGGAAATGTGCAAGACTTACATGTAAGCATATTCAAGGTAAGTTAAAAAATATTATATTATTAAATCCTTTTATTTCTAGGCCTTATGGAACGAACATCAGCGAAAGCAAAAGAAAATTCAGTCAACAATTCAGACATTTTTGGATTTAAACCAGGACCTCAAAGGCAGTAGATACTATTTGGAGGCAACTAAAATTATTGAAGAGCAGAAGGACTTAAAGTGCTCAAATACTGAGGAAATGAAGGATCAACCTGATGAAGCTAACCCGAACGTAGAAGGTTCCGAAAAGGAAGTACAGGAGTTAGATCCTGTGAATGCTGATCAGAACATCACCAAAACTGAGTAGAATTCTTTATATACGGACTACGAAGTATTATTAGCAGATCATTAATATATATAAAATTAATGCTAAAACTATAGTACTTGAACTCCATATATTCTTCAATAAGACTGAAACTTGCCCTCTTGGTAATATCCAACGGGGTTGACCTGAAAAAGGTAAGCGGCCAAACCGCAGGGTAAAGTAATTTCTACTTAGCCGCAAACTAACTACGGCCAGCATGGAAAAGTGTTGGAAAAAAAGAGGGGCGAGGAAAACTTTGGTACGCCCTAGAAATTAAAATAAAGTGCCAAGAAAGTGAAAAGCGAGTGGCCCATGCCCTAGAAGCAGTAGCATCTTGAAGTTCTGGCCAAAGCCAAAGCCCGGCCAACTTCCGTTTTGGGCCAACATCGTACCGCAGCAACCACTTCTTGTTGCCATTACATTTTCCATTCTTATTTTTTTGCCTTTGCCCTTGCACGGTTAAAAATGGATTTATTTAAAATCGATCTAAGTTTATTACATCTTAGTAGCTTTCAAGTCAGCAACAAAGAGTATTTTTTTGAATATATAAAATGGGATTGAAACAATATTAATCGGTAAAGATTATGCTTCAAGGCGAAGTGATCAAACACTGAGAATCTTTACCAATTAAAGAAAATCCATATATATTTCTTAAGTTCGATTTGGATTATAAATATGTAACAATATAACAATATTTCTATTATTTTCTCTGTACGCCTACCAACTGCAGCGAGTGCGTAGGCGTTGAGTCCACGTCTCTTTTAATAATTTGTAACTCATTTTCCACTCGGAAAACAAAATAACGACAACAACCAACTGTAGTAGGTAGCGGCGACAGTGGCGAGCATTTCACCTTTTGAGCTCTTACGCTTCGGCCATGGGCAAAGCTAGCACAAAGTGAAAAGTGAAAAGTTAAGAGTAAAAAGTAAAAAGTTCCATGCCAAAAAGTCGCTCAAAAAAATGAAAAGGAAACTTTTCTTGGTTTTAAGTAAGGACATTACATTTGGGTTAACATGCAAATTACGCAATAGAAGTGGTCCAAGAAACAGTAGCTCAAGAAGTGTGTAAGGACCAAAATCTTCTGACAGGACCAAACACTCCCTTCAAAGCTGATAGAGAAACTCTTTCAAAAAGAAGCAAACAATTTTATTTTCATGTAATATCTTTTAAGGACTGATAACTAGTCTCCAAAAATTATAATTTTAACTGTTAGTTACAGAACAAAAACAATACAAAAAAATGTAAAAAAAACTAGTTCCTTACAAATGCTTCAGGGAAAATGAATCCCAGGCCAAGCATTTCCAGAAAGTTGTCAAGGCTCTGGGCGTAGTTACAACCATTAACCGCAAGCAACTTCCAGCTCCAGGCCCATTTCAGTCCAGTCAATTGGCACATATTTTTTATCAAAACGGGATCACAATGATTTCGCAAATCTATGCCAGGTGGCACCGAAACTCCGTTGATCTTCCGCAGGCTCCGCCACATATACAGGACATCGATTTCATAGCCAGGCGGCAGAAAATTCTGCTTCAAATTCAATTCGACAAGCGGAAGGAGCTGCAAAGATTGCAGCAAAGACAGGCTATTCAGATCATTGTACTCCAGAGAGATTGAACGCAATCGTGGCAGACGGCTCTCCACCTGACAGAATGGCTGAAGAGAGGTCAGGTGATTTCGGTCTAAACATAAGTGCTCCAGTTCCGGCATCTCCTTCTCCACGATCTGGAGCACCGAGGTCATGCAGTGGGAATTGGCCAGGGCAAAGAACATTTCCTCCAAGATTCCGTCATTGTGAAATGATGTCAGGTCCAAGCTTTGCCGCTTGTCATCATATCTTGCCAGAATAGCCTCCTTTAGTGCCTTCTTATGAGCCTCATCGTACTGGAAAACGGGCATCCGATGGTTGACACCCAGCCAAAGGCGATTATTAATTCTATCGAGCTTAAAAAGAGCGCTCGCCACGGCATATGAATTGACGTAGAATGTGAAGAGAGCTCCGGCGTCTTCTGCGGCATCGAATTCCCCGCCAGAGTGCAGATAATGGGGCTCCAGCTTAAGTGGTTTTATCCTTTGACGGATGCGTCGCAGGACACGGTTAACACCCACATGATCCTTGCTAAAGACCAAGACGCGATACCATCCATGTATACTCACTGGCAGACTGGTGACACGTCCCACAGGACCAGATTCCTCCAGATCCACGACCCTCGGCGTGGAGTGACATAAAGGACCTTGAATGCCTTTGCCACGCGGTGTACTCAGCGCAGTCATTAAAACTAATTATTACGAAACTTGAAAAAAATACGGAAAGTTGGCTAAAAAAATGTAAAAAATGTTCCTGACTATACAATAACCTAACTGTTAGCTGGGCTAAAGTAATACTAATGGCCAAATATAAATACTGATACAAAAACAAAAGTTTAATCACGGGTAAACTGATCACACTGTAAATTTATTCATATAATAGTATTTGTTTCTCAATTTTCGTATGCAAATTCGAACATTTCTTGTTTATTATTGAAGTTCAGCATAAAATCCAAACCAGACAATCCAATCCAATAACAAAGACTACAATAATAAATTATATATGAAAAAAACTTTACAAATAACAAGATGAACTACATATTTATAAATGTTTGAAGTTCTATTCCAGCTTTCAATTAGGTAATTAGAAGAATTAGAATTAATCGAACGACTAAAAAGTTAAATAGGTAAAATCCACCACGTGGTGATAATAATTTTATTATATAGGGGGCGCTTTAGGCAATTGTCTTTTTGCATCGTTTCAACATTGAAACCAAGGAAGTGCGTTTGGCTTATACATGTGTAACAAACTGTTATTCGTATGTATTTGACACAAGTTGTTTTAGCGACACCTATATGTAGCTGGAAGTAAGCAGGGAACTGCTTCTTTACCCGGTAGAGGTCACTTAAATTACAAAAACAAAACGTACACAGCAAAATTTTAGTTTTATTTTAAATTCATATATTGTATTCATTAATTCGAAAATGAAAAAAGAATGGTAGCTTCTGGAAAATGCTAGAAAACAATTTTTTGCGGACTTAGCTAGATCTATTTGCAATTAATGCTGATTAATAAAATATATGGTTTATGGGGTCGAAAATCACTCATTAATTTCTTTTCCCGCTCACCAAAAATTTAATACCTTGTAAGGAAAATTAAATTTATTTTAAAAGAATACTTTTATTAGAGGCTCATAGGTAAAAGTTATTTAAAAATAAACCAATCTTTGAATCTTTAAGAGTTATTTGTAAATGAAAGTCTGACCTAGAAAATGAAATATTTCATGCTGTATAAGACCACAAGCATACCCAGCACACCCTGAGAAATAGAGAGTGTTGGAGCGGATGATCGCTTTCCGCGATACTTTTTAACAGTGTGCGTTGATTGCACAATGACATGTTGCGGCTGTGCTGGAGCAGGCTGTGGAATGGGATTGGTTTGGACTGCAGGCACGACCGGAGCAGGAGCGGGCACAGGAACTGCCGGTGGAGCAACTGGCGAGTGAATAGGAGCTCTTGGCACAATGAATCCTGGAGCAGGGGCAGGAACAGGTACGACTGGAGCAGGAACAGGAGCAGGAGCAGCTGCAGGAAGAGGAACAGGAGCAGGAGCGGGCGCAACAGGAGGAAGAGGAACAGGAGCAGGAGCAGGAGCAGCTGCAGGAGCAGCTGCAGGAACAGGAGCTGGAGGACCTGCTCCTGGAACTTGAATCACTGGATAAGGCTGTGGCATCACAGGCACGTGACCAGAGCTAGGGGAAAGTTGAGGAGCTGGCTGGTTGGTCTGCTGCAAAGTAGGACAAATCAGGTTCTCAGTCTCCGTATAGGTCTTGGGATTATCCGGATTGGGTTGACGTATAATTTGCTTGTAGCAACCATTGGCATCAGGTGGACCTGTTTCAACGACAGTCGCCCGTTTGGGATCTGGCTGCACGGGCACAGCCAAGGCAATGGGAGCTGGTGCCGGAGGAGCTGGAGGAACTGCGGGAACGCCTCCAGCATAATAGTGGTGAACATGGGATACGGGAGCAGCAGGAGCAGCAACGGGAGCTGGACCGGGAGCCTGATTAGACTTGGCCGCCATATGACCCAAGACACCGCCAGCTACTACTCCGCCCAAGAGACCAACACCTACAGAGAAATACAGAGAGAAGAGCAAGAGTTTGGGATTTTAATTAAAGAAAATTAATACTTTAACATATTTTCTTATAGAATATAATTAAGTTTATATAATTTTTAATTATTTCACATACCAAAAGCCCTTTTCCGACCTCGTCCAGGACGAGCTTGACTAAATGGCACCAGACTTAACCCGAGCAGAGCCACCAGGACTAAAACCTTTACCAGATTTCGCTTTGACATAATAATGTTATTAGATCACAGTCTCTTCACTCAACTCGAAATATATATTTGGTTAAATCGGCGTTCAGAATCGAAATGATCGAGCTCCTGACTCACTTGTTCGCAACGACCAGAATGTTTTGTCGACTTTTCAAATATTTACACAGTTGCGTTGAGAAATTTAACGAAATTCGTAGTTCACCGCATGTTATGGTTCGCTTTAATTTCAATTTTAGCGGCACATGAAACGCTCATTAACACGCTGAGGTCTTATACCATGACGCGAGGTTTTGTTATGTATTTGATTAATTTTATAAGAGAGTTAAAAATATTATTTACCAAATTGTTCAAGATCTAAGAAGCATTTTACTCTAGATTTTCCTAGGTAGCAGACGTATCTAAGAGGAGTTCTGGTTTTTAATTATTGAATTAGTTATAACTCGATATCGGTATGGACTTAAAGGTTAAATATTCAATATACAGAAATGTATTTTAAAAAGTGTTATATACTCTTGATATGCGTGTTCTTCTGACCACTTTGTTGCAACTTTCACCTCCAAAGAATGGCTGCCTTCTCGAAGCTATTAACAAAACCGATGTAAAAGAGAACAGACATAATGGCAGATCCAAAAGTGTTGTTATTAGTTCGGCTTAAGGTTGTGTGATTTAAGCCCCGACAACAACAACAAAAAAATACAAAATGGGTTCGATAAAAAAGAGTAAACGTTAATTGTTTAATGAGTGCCAGTCGTCCCTCTGCCGCCCTTTTGAATTCCATTTCGTCAAACTGATGGCCGAAATTTTTGGTAGTTTCGGGCGACAGGACCGGGGAGCAGCAGCTGGCTGAAACATGGTGGTTAAGTCCTGCACATGGCACGTGAGGCTCCATTTAATTTTCATCATTTTCAGACCTGGAGGACACGCAAGCCGGTTAGTGTTAACACTGAAGCTGCAAAGGTCTCGATATTTCGCCCGGCAATTCCAGCAGTTTCCGGAGCTATTGATTAAATCGGCTTAAAGCCTTGACTAATGATGACAGAAGATTTGGCCGGAGAGAGAACATGAAGCGTTAGAGCGCATAATTCGCTGGTGGAAGCCGTCGAGTCATGGCGGACACACTGGCAACTCGGTGTCGAAATGACCTGCATCAAATGTTTCGTCCTGAGAAATATCCAGTCATTTGTATTCGAAGGATTTGGCGGCAATTTGTGAGACGCGACTTTAATTCGCTTAATAAATATTTGCTTAGTTTTCTGGGTCTCCTTCGGTTTGGTTACAAGAGGTGGAGCATCTTCTCTTTAAGGACAATGGACAATTGTCAATTGCAGGACATTCTTGTCCTTTTTTGGGGGTGCGACACTCGAGTTCCACTTCCCAGTTAGCCATAAATCATTTGATGGGCGAAACACTGAAGAAAAACAAAGAAATTGCAGAAAATTTAAGCATTTGTATAGGAAATTTATTATAAGAATAATTATAATGGTTTTTGGAAACAGTAAAAGATAGTCTATTATTTATATTGCCCAGGGTTCTACAGAATTTTTAAAGGTTTAAATAAACTGATACCAACTACCAACTGATATTTGATATTTCAAATAAATATTTTATTCAAGAATCTAGATACCCAAATTTATTCTTGACATTTAGAATTGATTTAGTGTAGAATTTATACTTTTTAGTTCATTTTTCTTCCTGTGCAGCCTGAAGATGATGATGAGGCAACCGTCAGAGGCAGGAAGTGCCAGGACATGCGGCCAGGAGCTGCACTGCCTCATCTTTCTGGCCGCTGATGGACATCTTTTTGGGGGCCAGGGACCTCTGTCGAAAGTCTCCTTCTCCCCCTTGTTTTTCCCAAGGATAATGATGCGCAAATCGCTGGCAGTCATCGCAGCCTCCGCTGCCAAAAATCCTTGCAAGTCCTGCGAATGTTCTGCTGCTGCTGCTTTGTTTCATGTTTGTGGTGGCTGGCTTTTAGTTGCCTCTATTATCCTTAATGCGAGTCACTTTGTTAGCAGAACGTCAGTTGTCGGCCTGCAAGCGCCATTATCGTCATCGTTGCTGGATGGCCAAGGGAAAAAATATGAATCGGAAAATGTGCAGACACGCCGCCAGCGGCCCGAAAAATGCACGAGGATAAAGATAAAACATGACAGGCGGTTCACATCCAGTCATTTATAATGGGGCCAAACATGACCGCGACCGCATGTGGCCGCGCCCCTTGTCTTCCTGCCACAGTTTATCATCCAGAAGTTGGAGTTTGAGTTGAAGCCGGAAGACTAGAGCTTGGACAGAGGAGTCTCACCGAAAAGAGAGCTCCTCCTTGAGGCCGAGCAAGGCTAATGAATTAATTGTTGCCAGCTATTTACAAGCATCTAATTCCAATTCCGATTCCCGATTCGATGGGCTGCCAATAAAAATATGCCATAATTATCTAGAGCCAAGGCTCTGGCAAGATAAACCAGTCCTGGTCTCGGCACAGGCTGCAATGTTAATGACATAATTTAAAAAGCATTTCATTAATAGCCGTTGGTAGACGATGGGCCAAGGAGTCTGGAGGAAGGCAATTAAAATGCGAACAAAGAAAGCTTGTTCGAGGATGGATTGGAAATTCAGATGTTGGTCTTGCTAGAATGTTAATGGTAATTACAATTGATTCGCATCGAAAATGGGTGAATAAGTTGCTTGCTCTTTTGAAATAAATCAAGGGAAGGAAAGCATAAGTCAAGCATTAAATCAACATAGGTTTTGAAGCTTCTACATATTATTATCATTTTAAACACTGCTTTAAAACAAAGAAACCGAAAAGGAATTTAAAGCAAAGTCTCTTTAGCCTTCGCGAATTTTTTCGCCTCTCTACTTGAAGTTATCTTGAACTTTGGCATCGTCTCCACGGCCACTGAAAATATGTTTTGGCCTCGCAAACCTCCCCCCCAAAATGTCCTGGCCATGTCAAATCATTTGTATATAATTCACATCCTTTTTGGTATTCTGTATTCGGTATTTGGTCTTTGTGCCTGGTCTTGGTGATTTATGGGCTGCTCTTCTTTCTGCCATGTTTGGAAATGTTTCTGTATAAATATGCCAGCAGCGGGACACATTCCAAATTGGTCCGTGCAAATTGTTTGCCTCAGCACTATTATCCTTTTCGCAGGATGTCGCCGTTGCTCGCTTTTTAGGTAATTGCTGACTCCTGCCATTCCGGCTGGCAAAGTTATTCGATTCCGATACGAAAATTTGATATTCCGACCACATGCTGTGATTAAATTGTTGATGCCAGCAGTTGTGTGTTTTGTTTGTAATTGAAAATATATAGTTTTTGGCACTGATGAGAGAGCAGAACTTTGTCCAAAGAGGCGTGACTGAGATTTGCAGCATTTGATTAGAATTTAGAAGTGAAATGGCATTGTCTCAGGAATTTTGTAGAAGGAAGTTTTTAATAGTGATTAGGTTTTCTTTACTTTGTTGTCAAACCAATGCACTTGAATAGATTCTGGGGTTGAATATAGGTTTAAAGTTACAAAATACATAAAAGAAAAACAAATCAAAGTTAAGATATATGAAAGATCTATTAAAGATACCTTATTCCAGCTTAAAAACAGCAAGAGAAACTGCAGAAAACCTTGCATATAACATTTTAATTAACATTTTAAAGCTACTTGATTGGTTTTCCTTTATGTTTTAATTGTTATTTTTACCTAAAACCCACTTGAAATATTCACAATTTCACACTGCAATACTTTGCAATGACTTGTTTAATTTTCACAAATTCAATTACCAACTTTTGAGCCTCTGCCCCCTGCCTTATTTTTCGGGGGCACCGCCTGCTGTGCCATTTATCAAAACTAATGCTCGGAAATTTCACAAAACTATGGCTTGGGATGCTTTACGCAACACTTGAGAGCATGGAAATTTAGTAAATTGGAAATCGGTTGCCGCATTCCGAGACCGCAGAGACCATCGCCCGATAGGTTGGCGATACACAACTGGACGACGGTGGGTGTGGCCTGGGTCTGGGTCCGGGTCTGGCTCTGGGTCCGGTCCCTCCGACCTCCGATGAGTTCCTGGTCAGGCCAAAAACTTCAAGATGGGCCAGGGCATGTGCATTTGTCATAAATTAGAAACTGTAACTCCGAGTGTGTGCTCGGTTTTTTGTGACCTGCCCAGCAAGCACTTAGATTTATTGCAAATAACTCTTCCTCCCCATAAGTTTTTTTTCGGTGCACATTTTATGCTCCGCACTCGTGCGCCGGTTTTGGTTTTGATTTTTGTTACCCAGCAAACTAATCAACGCCCACAATTCACATTCCTCGTGGGATGAGGCAATAGCCAGGGGGGCTGGCTAAATGAAGTGTGTAAAACGGCGACCCCTTTCAATTATATCTCGGACTGTGGTGCTCAGTCAAAAGTAAACAGAAACTTGGCCACAATGGCACCCGAGTCCGGCCAAACGCATATAAATCTTGGCCTAAGTGTTGTGGTCATTTAGCAAATGTCCGGCAATGTCCGGCATGCAAATTTTGTATATCTTTCTGGCCGGGAGTGAGTTGCACACTTAGTTGGCTTCCTTATCGCAGTTGAAGATGGGTGCCCTGGCTGGTGTGATTTATAAAATGTTTTAATTAAGCTGTCCCAAGTACCAAACAATAGCCGGAAGAAATTAAAGGACCAAGGCTGGGAGAGGTAAAGTTAAATGATCTATGAAAGCAAGAGGAAAATATTTAAGAAACACAGCAAATGATTACAAGTTCACAACATACTCAACACTAAAGACTCTTAAAAAATCCACACATTTTCAAACATATTAATAAGAATTTAATGGCTTAAAGACTCCAAAAAGTATATTTCAATGCCAGGGGATATTTTGGCAGACATTTCCAGGGCCCCTTTCCTTTTTTATTCTCAGTTTCTCCCTCTTATTTCCTTTCGCATGTCCTTTTCACTTCCTTTTCCCAGTTTCCAGCTCCTTCTCAGCTCTAACATAAACACATAAGTGGTAGTCCTGTCAAAGTCAAAAATAAACGCAGCGACAATAATGATTTATGTTCGCCGAGGCGAAAAGGAAAGGTCCTGATTCTGTGAAAGGAATCCAAGGATTCGGGGGTGATAACTAAGAGACGTATGAGAATCTAGAGATATGCTAGAA